ACATACATGAAATAGTTGATTTAGATATACTAGTGTAAGTAATAATAAAGCATTCCCACATTCCTATTCCTTTGTAGCTGAAGCAGAGAAGGAATAAAGGTGAAGGGAAAAAACATGCTTGGTTAATTGCCTTAACTGAAGACTGCATCAATTGCTTTACGTGCCAGAATATGAAATTAAAATTTGCCTCTCTCTTAAAAAACATGGGAAAAAATCAGAAGAAGGATTCTGTGTGCTGTGTGTTAGATCTTTCCCATGAAACCAAAACCTTTGTGATGTATGTAGGTGCTTTTCATTTTAGGAGTACAGCAAAAGAGAAGTCCTTCCCCAACAAATTCTGTGACTCATGAACTATTGACTTGTTCCTGTATTCTCCCAGGAGTTCCGGTATTCTCAACAATTACCTAACATAGTAGCACTTGCAGGATCTTGCTGCTTTCAACTAAAACATATCTGCTGGTCGGAATTTCATCCAGATGAAAATTTCTATAGTAATCAACTGTCCAGAACACCATGTCTAATTGCTAACTGGAATTTAGCTTGTTTGCTAGCTTTAATAATTAATCATGGTCCAGCTCTACATCAATATCCCTCATCTGTCTTCTTTTCTCAAAGCAAAATATGTTCACCTCCTTCATTCTCTTTTCATAAGAAAATCTGATCATTCTTGTGGCCCATCTCTGGACCTGTTTCAATTCCCCTGAATCCTTGTTTAAAGGGTGGTGTCTAGAATGGACCCAGAACTCAAGGTGGATCCTAGGGAAAATTATGTCCTGTGATTTGGAAACTATGCTTCCATTGATGCACCTACATCTGTGTTTTGCTTTTTGCAGCCATTCACAATGCAAACTCAAATTGAGTTTCTAATGAACAAATATTCCAAGGTCCCTCTGGCCAATACCAAGCAAGATGTTTCCTATCCTATAAGTGTTCATTTGATTTTTGTTTTCTAAGTGAACTTTCCTCTGCTAAATTTCATTCTGTTACCTTCAGACCATTTTTCTAGCCTCTCGAGATCACTTGTATTTTTGTCATGTAGGATACTAGCTATTCCATCCCATTTTGTCTCATGTGAAAATTTGATAAGCTTTCTCTCCATATTATGGAAGGCATGTGAGGCTTAGAAGCAGACTTGGACAAAGGAATTTTGCTTTTCAGGATGACGTAAGCTTTATTAAAGAAGCATGCTTTGGTTTAGACTGTATATTTTGGTGCTTAAGTTTGATTTTTCTTATATCCTTCCTCTGCAATTTTCAAACTATTCCTTGTTCCACCTTTGTCTCACCTTTCTTCTTAGCAATCTGCCCATTGCTTCTTTCACCTGATTGTTCCTCAGACAGTAGATCAAGGGGTTGAGAAAGGGAGTAACGGCAGTATAGAAGAGAGTCACTGCCTTAGTGACACCAAACTGACTTTCCCCCCCGGGTATTAAGTACACCCCTGCCACTGAGCCATAGAAAAGTGAGACCACAATTAGATGGAATGAAACAGTAGAAAAGGCCTTCCTACA